TTTGTATGTTAGACTATATGTATATTGCTGTGTGTTGGTGTTTGAAGGTATATTTATGTATCTATATTTAATTCGTTTATATATGTATTTGGTTGAATGTTGTTGTATTTTTATGTATGCATGTATATATATAGGTAGTTGTTATTGTAGATAGATATATTTATTTATATATATATATTTATTTGTAGATATGTGTGTATGTGTGTATATATATTTATGTATGTTTGTGTATGTATATATATATGTGTGTGTGTGTTGGCACCTATTATGTATGAGTTTGTTTGTGTATGTGTGGGTATGGAAACTTTGGTATATCATGACGGTTTTTTTTTTTTTTTATATCTAAGTATGGGTGCATAAAAGTCTATGTGTATATATGTGTGTGTATGTAGGTTTATATGTATATGTGCGTACATGTGTACTTGTTATCATAGATATGTATATGTACGTATATGTTTATGTTTATATATTTATTTGTATGTATTTCTGTATGTATATGTATGTATGAGTATATTTTTATGTGTGTTAATTTGTTTTTTTTGCTGCCGTGTATATATATATATATATATATATATATATATATATATATATATATATATTTGTGGATTTCTTTATCCTGTTTTTCTTTGCCTAATATATAATGAAACTATTATCAACTTATATGATTAATAATATATATTTTTTTATTGATATTTATGGTTTTAGAATTTTCGTTTTAATATTAAATAATATTATTTTAAACATTTTTATCTTTGTATATTTGCTCCCTTAAATTATAATTCGATAAGTGGTTAGCATTTATTTAAGTCTGAAATATTTACTGGTTGTGATTTCTCAATGTCTATGCCATTGTCTGTGGATGTATGTATGTGTATATATCGATGTCTATGTGTATGTAGAGTGTATTCACATTTATCTGTGTGTGTATAAGTGTTAGTTTCCACGTCTCCTTTTTTCATAAAGGGCTGTAGAGATGTTCATGTATTCCCCACACCTCTCCTTTTTTTAGTGTGTGTGTATGTGTGTGTGTGTGTGTGTGTGTGTGTGTGTGTGTGTGTGTGTGTGTGTGTGTGTGTGTGTGTGTATCTAATTATGTCTGGATGCTTATGTATTATAATCTGATTGTGTTTTTGTTGTGTCACACGTGAGTTTAAGACCATATTCACAAACTTTAAAATAAAAACGGAAAAGAAGGGAAAAAGAGAAAAAAATATATACATGTATTATCAAATGACCGGATGTATTGTAGCGT